TTTTTTAAAAAAATAGATCCCATTGGCTGACCCAGTTGCCATGTCCTATTCCAGCCAAGTCCCCAATGGCTGACCTGCTGCTATGCCCTATTCCAGTTCATGAATATTCTGACAAAATTTACAAGAGCGGACTTGAATTGTGGGCCCAACTGCATTGGCAGCCTAACCAGGATTGAGTCAATTCATGGGCTAACTTTACAACCTTTTTTGTAAGGCGTTCATTACCAGGTATGTTTGTGCCCACACAGGTGGTCAAAGCGTTTATCATCTTGTCTCCTGCTTTTCTACCCTGCGATCCAGAGGCCTTAATCCAAGAACTCCAGAACCACGTGAAAAAATCTACAGCTCCATATAAATATCCCAGGAAGGCAAGTCGGGGCGGGAAAGTTGCAGGGGGAGGGGGGGGGAGAGATTGAAGTTTGCAAACAGGGAAGCTTTCGCTCTGGGTTGATGAGTTGAGGTTTGGTGACTTGACTTTTGAGCCCAAAACTTTGGTTGCTAAGCAAGACAGCTAAGTAAATTTTGCCCTCTTTTACGATCCTTCTTGCCACAGTCGTTAAGTGAATCTGGCTTCCCCATTGCTTGATCAGAAGGTCGCAAAAGGGGACACTGCAACCACCATTAATATGAGTCCGTTGCCAAGCATCTGAATTTTGATCATGTTATTTATGCAACGGTCGTAAGTTTCAAAAAACATAAATGAGTTATTTTTTTCCCAGTGTCGTCCTAACTTGAACAGTCACGAAACAAATTGTTGTAAGTCGAGGACTACCTGTATAAGGTTATAGTGCCCAAATCTTGCACGTTCTTCCTTTCTTTATTTTTCAGGAGACCTAGCAAGGAACTTAACCGAGACCCTTTCTTTATACAATAGATTTTTTTAAAAATTAAGATTATCATATATGAAATACGAATGAAAGTAAAGATAATAGGGGAAGGGGGAAGGGGAGGGAAAGAAAAGTGAGGGATAAGAGGGAAGGAAAACAAACACTGACTTCCAAGTGAATGGGTGGAAACTAATCAAGGAGAGAAGCAATTTAGAACTAAGGAGAAATTTCCTGACAGTGAGAACAATTAATCAGTGGGACAACTTGCCTCCAGAAGTTGTGAATGCCCCAACACTGGAAGTCTTTAAGAAGATGTTGGATAGCCATTTGTCTGGAACGGTATAGGGTTTCCTGCCTAGGCAAGGGGTTGGACTAGAAGACCTCCAAGGTCCCTTCCAACTCTGCTATTGTATTTGTATTGTATTGAAGTGTCCCTTTTGCAATCTAGCCAGATATCTGAATTGGGAAGCAAACACGCAATCGAGTTTTGAGCATTATTAATGGGGAGCGAATGTAGGCTGAGTCTTGGCTGTGTTTACCTAAGTCAGAGGTTCCCAAACTTGGCAACTTTAAGACTTGTGGACTTCAACTCCCAGAATTCTCCAGCCAAGTTTGGGAACCACTGACCTAAGTCATTTCCCTTTGCCTTCTTTATTTTATTTTTATATTTTATTTTATTGCATTTTTATTTCCTTGCCTTGCTAACCGCCTTGGGATTTCCACGTGCCCCCTTCCCTCCAAATTTCACTTGAGTTCAGCGCTGCCACAAAGGGGCAAAAATTAATTCTCCACCCCTCTTTTTTTTTTTAATTTCCCCGAACAGATAGAATTTGTCCAAGAACTTCCCAAAACGGCAGGTGGGAAAATTCAACGGAGTGTCCTGCGGAAACAAGAATGGAGCAAAGTCAAACAGCAGCTCGACCTTCCCAAATAAAACCTTCTTCCCCCGTTCTCTGCTGTCCCGTTTTCATTCATTCTGTTATTCCGGGCAAATTGATTCCACGCTGGAAGGTTTTAAGGTTTGAAGTTACGACAAAGGGACCACATATCTCGTTTTGCATATATCGACAGCGGCGAGGATAGTATTTGCAAAACATTGGAAAAACGAGAACACCTCATCAGAGGAGGATATAATTGGGAAAATCTTAGATGGTGCCAAAATGGACAGGCTGACTTTAAGAATAAAAGATAAAGGGGACACAGAACATTACTTGATATGGAATAGATTTTATGCTTGTCAATCAGAAAGATCGGCAGTTTGGCGGTTTGAATCCCTAACAGAGTGAGCTCCTGTTACTGGCCTGAACAAAACAAAATAAATTATTGATCATTGTTAATTTTAATCGATTTTTTTTAAAAATGTTATTGTTAATCCTAATTGGGTTTGTTTGGGCTATTCTATTTTAAAAAAATTTAAGTTTTGTAATATGTGTTTTTTTAATGTTGTACGCCGCCCTGAGTCCTTGGGAGAAGGGCGGCATATAGATCCAATAAACTAAACCAAACCAAACTTGTCCCAGCTTCTCCCAACCTACGTTCGAACCTTTAAGTTCAAAAGCACGTAAAAATTGCAAGTAGAAAAATAGGAACCACCTTTGGTGGGAAGGGAACAGCGTTCCGTGCGCCTTCGGTGTTGAGTCATGCCGGTCACATGACCACGGAGACGTCTTCGGACAGCGTTGGCTATTCTATTCTATTCTATTCGTTTGATGAGCTGTGGGCTAATAAGCCAAGGTGGCGCAGTGATTAAATGCAGCACTGCAGGCTACTTCAGCTGACTGCAGTTCTGCAGTTCGGCGGTTCAAATCTCACCGGCTCAGGGTTGACTCAGCCTTCCATCCTTCTGAGGTGGGTAAAATGAGGACCCAGACTGTGGGGGCAATATGCCGACTCTGTAAACCGCTTAGAGAGGGCTGAAAGCCCTATGAAGCGGTATATAAGTCTAACTGCTAATAACCAATACAAAATAAACAATGAAATCGTCTTAATTGAGAACACCAAATATTATCTTGGATCTCTCAAAGCATAGAATGAACATTCAAAGTGAGTGTTCTTGGATAACTTGGACCTGAGGCACAAAGTTCATAGAAGTTGGACAAATATTAAGATCAACAAACTTTTTAAGTTTCCACGTTTGAAATGAGTTATAATTATGTATTAGGAACCAACATGCTAATCCAAAATGGAAGAGGATATACTGGAAAAAAGTGTGGCCATCAGCAATTCTTTATTTTGTGCAAGACCTACAAAATCCTACTCTATGGATGTCCTTCCCCCACTTTTTTAAGTCACGAATGTGCATATAATTGGTGTTTTATAGAGGCTGAACCCCTTCGTTGTCTCGGCTCCTGCTTTTTTAACCCCACGATTCAGAAAAAAAAAACACCAAATTGAGAAACTCCAAAAATCTCATGAAAAGCTCCTCAACTCACCTAGGGCTGTCCTAGAATGATAAATAAGACTTTCCAGGGTGAATTTGAGAACTGTAGGGCATGAGTGGGAATCATCAAAATGTTTGGAAAGGAAGTTTTTTGGATCAGTGATACCGACAAGAGTTGGGGACCTTTGGGGGGCAAATGGATGCAAGGAGAGATTGCAGAAGAGAAGGGTGCAGTCCTGAGTGAAGCTTCCCATGATCTTGTCACGGCATCAATCATTTGATGGGACAGGAGAATTATGAAATCCTTGGGGAGTAATTGGTTTCAAGTTAAAAAGACACATTTAAATACATTTCAATTTGGACACGCCTCCTCATCTTCCTTCCCTCTCCTTCTCTTTTCCTTCCTTCACTCCCTTCCTTCTCTTTTTCTCCTTTCCTCACTTTCTGTCCTTCCTTCACTCTTTCTCTTGCTTCTTCATTTTCCTTTCCTTTTCCTTCCTTCCTTTCTCCCTCCTTCCCTCCCTCCCATCCCTGTCTTTCTCTCCTTCCTTCCTTCCTTCTTTTCCTTCCTTCCTTCTTTTTCTCCTTTCCTCTCTTTCGGTCCTTCATTCTTTCTCTTGCTTCTTTGTTCTCTTTTCCTTTTCCTTCCTTCCTTTCTCTCTCCTTCCCTCCCTCCCTTCCCTGTCTTTATCTCCTTCCTTCCTTCTTTTCCTTCCTTCCTTCTCTTTTTCTCCTTTCCTCTCTTTCTGTCCTGCATTCTTTCTCTCGCTTCTTTGTTCTCTTTTCCTTTTCCTTCCTTCCTTCCTTTCTCCCTCCCTCCCTCCCTCCCTTCCCTGTCTTTTCTTCCTTCCTTCTTTTCATTCTTTCCTTCTCTTTTTCTCCTTTCCTCTCTTTCTGTCCTTCATTCTTTCTCTTGCTTCTTTGTTCTCTTTTCCTTCCTTCCTCCCTCCTTTTCTTCCTTCCCTGTCTTTCTCTCCTTCCTTCTTTCATTCTTTTCCCTCCTTCTCTTTCTTTCTTCCTCTCTTTCTGTCCTTCCTTCACTTTCTCTTGCTTCTATGTTCTCTTCCTCCCTCCCTCCTTTTCTTCCTTCCTTCCATCTTTCTTTCTTTCCTTCCTTCTTTTCCTTCCTTGCTTCCTTCCCTGTCCTTCCTTCTTGTTTTCCTTCTTTCTCTGTTTCTCCTTTCCTCTTCCTTCCTTCACTCTTTCTCTTGCTTTTTTGTTCTCTTTCTTTTCCTCCCTCTTTCCCTTCCTTCCTTCCTTCCCTGTCTTTCTCTCCTTCCTTCTTTCATTCTTTTCCTTCCTACCTTCCTTCCTTCCAACATCTGCCTCTCCCAGGTCCTTGGGAAATACTTGATAGGTGGATACAAATGTCAAATTCAGTCTGAACATCTGGCCGACTGTGTGACCAACCGTAACAATTGCATTCATCATGAATTTCACCTATGAACTTTGTCTGCTATTCAGTTGCTTTTGAATCACAAATACCATCGTCCACATTCTGGATTGTATTTTTACTGAATTTGGGATATGCTAGCTTTAATTTTATGTTTCCCCTCTGATTTTTTAATGCCTTGTTTTAGTAGAGGTCAATGCCATTCCAAAAAAGAAAAGAAAAAGTGAGCCTTCTAACCGCAGCCTGTAAAAGTTGAATAAATGAATAGGTTTAAATGCAGCTTTAGAAATAAGTAAATGTTTAGCACAATTAAAAAATTAAGCAACTGCTATTACTTCTACGAAGCACATTGTTTGAGCAGTTGGCTGGATCTTTGTGTTCTTCTATCTCTCACCATTCCTACCCTTTTATTGTCTCGTCTGCAAAAAATTAACTTTTTTTTAAAAAAAGCCAGGATTGGCTACATTCATGTCAGAATAAGCTGCAGTAAAGATCTAAGGAATCTTGTCAGATCATCCAGGTTATGGCCCCTCTGGAAGACATAACCTTGAAGTGTCTGAATGGAGATCATTGTGCAATTCAGTGTAGCTCAGTGTCAGTAGCCTTTGGGAAAGCATGAAAGCGGCAGGAGGGAAGAGAAAGGTTCGTTGAAGGACTGAGATCCGAGGCCCCCAAAGATTGTATTGAGTAGGGGGGGGGGAAAACCAAGCTTCAAAGAAAGATTGTTTTTAGAATAAAATAGAACTGGAAACAGAAAAAAGGAATAGGGTAGGGTAGGATAGGATAGAAGAGTTAAGAATGCAATGCAATGGAGTGGGATAGGGTAGGGTAGGATGGGATGGGATAGAATAGAATAAGAGTTTGGAATGGAATGGAATAGAATAGAATAGAATAAAAGTTAAGAATGGAATAGAATAGAATAGAATAAAAATTAAGAATGGAATAGAATAGAATAGAATAACAGTTAAGGAAAGGATAGAATGGAATAGAATAGAATAACAGTTAAGAATGTAATGTAATGTAATAGAATAGAATAACAGTTAAGGATGGAATGGAATAGAAGAGAATAGAAAAGAATAGAATAGAATAACAGTTAAGAATGGAATGGAATAGAATAGAATAGAATAGAATAGAATAGAATAATAGTTAAGGATGCAATGGAATAGAATAGAATAACAAGGATGGAATGGAATGGAATAGAATAGAATAGAATAGCAATTAAGAATGGAATAGAATAGAATAACAGAAGAATGGAATGGAATAGAATAGAATAACAGTTAAGGAAAGGATAGAATGTAATAGAATAGAATAACAGTTAAGAATGTAATGTAATAGAATAGAATAGAATAGAATAGAATAGAATAGAATAGAATAACAGTTAAGGATGGAATGGAATAGAAGAGAATAGAAAAGAATAGAATAGAATAACAGTTAAGAATGGAATAGAATAGAATAGAATAGAATAATAGTTAAGGATGGAATGGAATAGAATACAATAACAGTTAAGAATGGAATGGAATAGAATAGAATAACCATTAAGGATGGAATGGAATAGAATAGAAAAGAATAGAATAGAATAACAGTTAAGAATGGAATGGAATAGAATAGAATAGAATAGAACAGAACAACAGTTAAGAATGGAATGGAATGGAATAGAATAGAATAACAGTTAAGGATGGAATGGAATAGAAGAGAATAGAAAAGAATAGAATAGAATAACAGTTAAGAATGGAATAGAATAGAATAGAATAACAGTTAAGGAAAGGATAGAATGGAATAGAATAGAATAACAGTTAAGAATGTAATGTAATGTAATAGAATAGAATAACAGTTAAGGATGGAATGGAATAGAAGAGAATAGAAAAGAATAGAATAGAATAACAGTTAAGAATGGAATGGAATGTAATAGAATAGAATAGAATAAATTATTTATTGGCCAAGTGTGATTGGACAGACAAGGAATTTGTCTTTGGTGCAGATGCTCTCAATGTAAATAAAAAGACAAGATACATTCGTCACGAATCATAAGGTACAACACTTAAGGATAGTCATAGGGTACAAATAGGAAACAGTATCAATATAAATCGTAAGGATACAAGCAACAAAGGTACAGACATGCAGTCATAAGTGGGACTCATCCAGGACTTTTGGGACAAACTCAAATCTCCAAGACCTCTGATCTTCGAACGCAGGGGATGGACAAAGGGGAAAAAAAATCAAGATAACCGGAACTTTGTGTGTTGTTTGCTGTGTTTCTTTTGAGGCCAGAGTTCATCCTTTCCTCCTTTAAAAAGAGGAGTCAATTTTAGGATAATATTTTACAAGCGTGTCAGTTATTAAAGGAGAAATTCAGTGAGCTGTTTTGGATTGCACTGCATCCCTCAACCATGAGATTATATTTAAGGGTCATATTGTCCAGTTAGTTTTCTCCAGGGAAAACGGAGTTCTATTTCACAACCACCAGACAACTAAGAAAGGCAATCAAAGAAGTTTTGGGTTTTTTTTCACAAGTTTTGGGTTTTCCAACCGGATTCTTCACTAGCACATTTCGCAGGTCAGTTTATGGGTGAATCAACCTCATGTTCCATGTTTGAACCAAATTGAAAATGTAGTCTCATTGTCCAGCCTATTATTTAAGTTATAGTGGGCTAGTAGTAGAATGGCTTTTGGGGAAGGACTAGCTATCTTCTTGATTTGGATGTGCCTTCCCAAAATTGCTCCCAAATCTTCAACAGAGCATTGACAACATTCGATGAAACTGTGCCATCTGGTTGTGGTTGAGTCTTAGCGACCGTAGAGATAGACTTTCTCCAGAAGAATTCTGGTCCTAACTTGGTCCTTCATCTCTTCCCTTTTTTATATACATTTTTATAAAGAGATACAGAAAGCATAAAAAAATAAATTATAAAAGGAAGGAAGGAAGGAAGGAAGGAAGGAAAGAAGGAAGGAAAGAAGGAAGGAAATGGATGAGGAAGGGAAGGGTGGGAGGAAAGGAAATGGATGAGAAGAGAAAAGGGGAAGGGGACAAAGGATGTATGGAAGGAAGAAGATGGATGAGAAGTGAGGAAGAAATGAGATGGATGAGAAGGGAAAAAGGGAAGGGGAGGAAGGAAGGAAATGGATGAGGAAGGGAAGGGAGAGAGGAAAGGAGGAAAGGAAATGGATGAGGGAGGAAGGAAGGGAGGGAGGAAAGGAGATTGATGAGAAGGGAAAAAGGGAAGTGGAGGAAGGAAGGAAATGGATGAGGAAGGGAAGGGTGGGAGGAAAGGAAATGGATGAGAAGGGAAAAGGGGAAGGGGACAAAGGATGGATGGATGGAAGGAAGGAAGGAAGGAAGGAAGGAGATGGATGAGAAGTGAGGGAGTGAAGAAGGAAGGAAGGAAATGGATGAGGAAGGGAAGGGAGGGAGGAAAGGAAATGGATGAGAAGGGAAAAGGGGAAGGGGACAAAGGATGGATGGAAGGAAGGAAGGAGATGGATGAAAAGTGAGGGAGTGAAGAAGGAAGGAAGAAAGGAAATGGATGTGAGAGCGAAGGAAGGGAGGGAGGGAGGAAAGGAGATTGATGAGAAAGGAAAAATGGAAGGAGGAGGAAGGATGTATGGAAGGAAGGAAGGAGATGGATGAGAGAAGAAAAAGGAAGGGAAGGTGGAGGGAGGATTCAATTTCCTTTGCAAATAGAAGTACAATTACAAACTTATCTCTTACTCAGTGAGGTCACCTTTTTCTATTATCCAGTTTTCCCCACCAATCCTTTAAACCCACAAGTCATAGCTGCATGTTTTCCCTTTTCATGCCTAAGTTCTATAAAGGATTCCCAGCCAGCCGTGTAGATGTTCTTCATTTAGGAAGCTTCATCATCTTCAACCACTTCCTCCATTGTGGATACATTTGACTCTTCCCATTGTTGAGCATATAACAGTCTCATTGCAGTGGTCACCTACAAAAATTTTTAAAAAAATTAATTCATATACCATACATGATAACATGTCCCTTCATTCTCTTGGCCCTTCCATTCTTTCAATAGCAAACACATTTATTTGAAAGGGCGATTATAAAAACTTGCAACCAGAAATTCTTTGAAAGAACTATGTGTCAGGCCTGCATTTATATTCCTTTTAGAATTTTGGCCTGCCCCACTTTCTCTTATTTCATTATGCTTTTTCTTTAAGTATAGTCGATGGGAGGGGGGAATAGAAGGAGTAGGATTGTGGAATGTATT